TCTTGATATTTTTCTCTCTGATTATGGATAATTATCACTGTTTCTTGATGTATCCGACTAACTGATATGGAAATAATGGTACAATTCCTTAATGAGTTCTTATAGGCTGATACAATATATCTGAAATCTTTATTTGAATAACTATGTCGTGTAGTATAATGTTAACAACTATGTTAAAAAAAAAACTTGTTGCGCAACTATGTTTTCCCTGACTTCACGATTAGTTCTTGTCAAATGAGAGGAGCAGTTACGTTATTAAAACATTAAGATGCCCTACTTTGATTAAAATGTTCATCCACGATTAACGTGCTTTTTCAAAAATAGTTATACAAACAAAACACAATATATATAGTTTTTTTTAAAGAAAATGATTAATATTTCTTTTATTTAGTTCATATGCTAGACTCGTCCAAGAAAATATTTGATTCAGTAGAGTAGTTAAAGAAAGATGTGCTTCAATTCCAAATAATAGTTGGGTTTTCTATTCATATATGATATCTGGCCTGTTTTATGTTTTTTTTTACCAATAAAGATATTAAATTTAATAATGATCACAAGTAATCAAGTAGTGGCTAGAATATGCATGAGTAATTGATATTCCTTCTCTACTATCATAAGCAGAGATCAGGCCATATATTCTTTTTCTCTGGGCTTTCTTGGGTTACTGTTATTGGTGGCAATTATGTCCATTTCTAATGGGTACCCATTAGAACTCAATATGTATTGATAAAGAAAATAATCAAATTACCCGTCCATTGATAAACTGACCTCTAAGTAGGTTGTGTTGAATTTAGGCGTGATTAAATAAACGGATTATTGGGATCCAATAGAATTATATTCATATTGAATTTGCTTCTTCTTGCATCTTACTTTTTTCTATCTTTTTCTTTTTTACTAAAACTAAAAATCATACATGTCACTAGAAGGAATATGCAACAAATCGTAAAAGTTCGCCTCCTTAAAACGATACACGTTTTTCATATGTTGATTTTTTACTACTTACCAACTACATTTTGTTATATTCTTCTACTATTTTTTCCCGCTTAAAATCACAAAATAATTTTTACCATTAAGCATGTAATTTACATCCGAAATAATAACCTTGCATTAAATTTTGCTCATTTTAATTAAATTTAGTGGTTAAATTTTAGGATTTGGAATTTGGAATTCGGTTTATGTAATCATCTGAAAAAGTAAAAAAAAAAATCGATAAAAATGGTGATATCTTATCAAATTTCCTTCTAATTTATGATGTGATCATTTCTACTTTGGGTGGCGTCACGCACCAACTTAGGACCTAGTTGACACGGCACAAGTACAACAATGAACATTGTCAATTGTCATACATGTAAGACAACTTACATTCCTTTTTTTTAATTTTATTTTTCATTTCAAATGTCTGAAATTTGAGTCATATAAAAATGATTACATCATAAGTATCTTAATCACTATTAAATCTCATAACCATTCCTTCGTCTCTTCGACATAGTGACAACGTCTACCATTCTTCCCCAACTTCCTCTCATAGCAATCATCATTACTGTCACTCAAAATATCTATCAAGGGGGCCAACACATGCAAGTTCAAATACTCACATTAACTTAAACTCGTAGAATCATGATCGTTTCAAAACATTTCGTAGCAAACTTTCATTTGGGCTTTTTCATCCCCCTTTCACTTTCGTGATCACTACCATAATATCGTACGTGCATATAGTATCAATCTCAAAACTTTATCCATAATCATACCATACTTCAGTTACAAAACATTCTTCATAAAACATTCTTCACAAGTCATAAAACATTTTCACATTTCAAACATAATAAATGATTTAGTTCAAATGATTTAAAACAGATATGTAGGTCGTAGCGAGGGAACGCACGCCATGCATACTATATAAATTATTTAGTTCACATAAGCACGTAAACGAGCATAAACATCGTGCGAGTGAATACACCTTTATTTGAGCAATTTCCATCATCTTGAAACTCAAAATATTTTCCCTTCACCTATCATTAGACATACATCTTCTTTAACGTGAATTCGACAAACTGTCTGAACTCCTACTAAACATTCACTAGTGCATCGTATTCTTATTGTTCATAATCCTCACCTAACTTAGCTCATTCTTATTTTCAATTTATATACTTTTGTGCTGAAATAAATACGTTACCATGCATCAAAGTATATAAATACTCAAATATTTAGAGTATTTGAAGATGTATCACAAATCTATGAAATCCTATGTTTCAGAAAACTTGATTGAAAAATATGAATTTATCTTCAAAATTGTGAGACTATTAACTTTTGATACCTTATCTTAGTAAAACTTTCACTACTACATCAACTTAAACCACAATATTTAAAAAATATTACATTTCAATCTCTTATAGTAGCACACTATAAATCGCTTTAAAAAAATCCCCATGAAAGATTGGAGGGATCACAAAAGGTCCCACTTAAAATACAATCTCCTTAATTAGACATAATATCTCTTAGTGATTTATTTGTACATACCACATACCACTTTCACACCAGAAATTATCCCCATGAAAGATTGGAGGGGTCACAAACGGTTCCACTTATAATCTAACCTCCTTAGATAGGAAATCTCTTAGTGATCTATTAGTATATAGTCAAAACTTTTTTTTTTTTTTTGGGCATAGAAAAGAAGGCTAAAGCTTGAGAATGACTAAGTCACTACAATCCTAGGGTATGATAACCCACTAATGTCATTTAAAAAAAATTATACTACTAGTATGAAAACATGCACAGTATTACTTTTGGAAGAAAGTATATTACTACTATATATTATGATATAAAGAACTACTTCCTAATTCCAGACATTAAAAATCATAGATTACAAACAAAATACTAAATAAAAGAAATGTAACTCCTAACATTATTTTTCTAATAACAAAGTAACACAAAAATTCTAATTAAAAGGGAGACTCAAAAGTTACCTCATAGACGACCCTTAAGAGTTTAAGAGTTTTTTCCCAAGTTACCTTGAGCTTCCTAGAAAACTTTTAAACTTCAACTTGGGAGTAGTCTTTCACGTGGAAGTGTCTACTTCCCTTAATTGATTTTGGTGTGCATGAATACCATGTGAAGCCTTCTATTTATAGGGGAGAGTTTGGGGGTAAACGTCTCTTCTTTACTAAGAGGGTCACTACTGTTCACGGCCTTTTCTATTTCTAGTTGCCTCTTATTATTTTGTTATTTTATAGATGTTTTTTTATTCACATTTGTCCTTTCATTAATTTAAAATTATTTCACTATTCATGGGTGGCTTTTGCACCTTCCATCTTATTTTATTAATTTGTTGCTATTTAATGTTGTTCTTTACTATTTAAGGTTGCCCCTTACTTTCTATTTTACAACTTATTTTATTATTCATGACTTCTACTTTTTCTACTATCTATTATATTCTATTAATTTTATGCTATTCATTGAAGGGGTTTCTAATTTCCTAATTACTATTTTCATTGATATTGGATTTTCATTTCTAACTTTATACACAACAACTTTAAAATTTTAAATTTCTTGGAGCAATTAAGCACTTGAAATTATGCGGATATTACATCCATCCCTCCTTAAAAAAGAGTTTCGTCCTCAAAACTTAACTAGTGCTCTCTTCAAATTGGTAACATTATTCTAGTTAGGAGTTTGTCCTCTAATTCCCATATGACTTCTCTTGTATGAGCGTTTACTTACAATATTGCTCTATTTCTCAATACTCGTTTCTCTCAATTAGCAATTTGGTATTATTGTTTTTCCACTGTTCAAATCTCTTTATCTATAGTAGAACTTTACTAAGATCACTAGTACACTATACTTTCAAAGATTTAGTTCCTTATACTTTTGGTGTTGCCTCTTAAATCCTTGTTGTCTTAACCAAATTGTTTTGTAGAGTATTTCCAAAATTTAAGTTGGTCTTTGAATAGTGAAAGAACCTGGGACCCTATATTCCTCTTTGAGTTGTAGCTTGAGTGTAAGTTTGGTAAACCCCTCTTTGAATCTCCACACTAAAAATAAAAAGAAAAACTTGTTTCTTGTATTTCTATGACACTATCCAATTAATCATTCACGATATCTTTTGAGTAATATTTTAGGTTTTCCTTAATGCAGCAGAGTCCTCTAAATCTAATTTTCCTTTACCTTGAGATCAAAGATATCTACTCTTGCTTGTAGACATTATCTCATAATAATATTTAATATCCATTCCATTCAAAGAATTACCTTAAACATCAAATTCATACATTATAAACTAAGAAGGCTTCCTTTCAAACTCTACCTCTTAGCATTTGTTCAATATATCATGTTTTTTCAAGGTGTTCTTCTTAAGGGTACGTGTTTTCATCTTCAAGATTTGTATTGCACATCGGGACATTTCTTGGGCATAACACTATAGAAAGAAACAAAATACATGACCAAATTGATAACAATTTGCACCTTAAATATTTTGCGATTCCTAATGAGTAGTCATCTTCACAAGACAAAATTGCAAATAACCAAGTTTATTATGAAGGCGTTAGTAGCAAAGAAAGAAAACCAGAACCCAATTGGCTAGCCCAAAGGAGGATGGCAAATAACTCTTACAATGTGGCCAACCAGAATATGAATTAGGCCAAAATTAATGAACACAAATCAGTCCAATCTATCAAACAATTGTCCAAAAGCAAAGCAGTAATAACAAGAACCTTTCCCGAAGTGCTAATTCAGGTCAAACGTGTTCGGTGACCGATCAGCAGCAGAGCCGGAATCAGAGGCAGAAGAGTAGCTTGGAACCAAATGCTACAATCAAACTGTGATATCGGATGTTCACTTATGGGAAAAGTCTCAACACCATTTGAAGCCTAATATAATATCAGGTGTCCTTTCAATAAGAGGAAATAGACGTTTTAAAAATGTACTCATCATTTTAAACTAAAACGGTATAATAAGGTTAACTAGTTTTGTAAAACGAGAGACTATATTAAAAAATAATAATAATAAAATTAGTCACCTTCCTCACTCCCATATTGTTGAAACAATGATTGCAAACCAGCAGATCCAGAGGTTGATCCTTCTACCGTCTCTCCTTTAACTTTAACTCCAGAAGATTCTTTCTTCTTAACAGAAACCCTCACGGCCGGCGACCTAAAAATTATATTTTTCCCGTTTGATGAGCCAGCTGAAACATCCACTTTATCTTTGCCTAGTGGGTTGCTTACAGTTTGTTCATGGTCCAGTTTTGTCCTCTTTGACCTAAAATCATATCCATCATCATCATCAGCGATGTCTTCATCATTAATCCTTCGGGCAATTAATCCATGGTTTGATGTTCTGTTAAATATGGATCTCACTAGAGCTTCATCTTCTTCACTCAACTCTTTTTCTATCTCTTCCTGCGACCGCCGCGAGCTTTGCAAATCATCAAGCATATCCGCCACATTTAGAGTTGCTTGCCTTGACTTCATAGATTTTATTTCAGCCAAAGCAGCATCCATATCCAATTGTCGTTTTGATTCTAAAGTTCGATTCTCCAAAGATTTCATCGAATCTCCCATTTCTTCAGCCTCCCTTTTCCGCTTCTCTTTGTCTTCTTCCTCATCATCCGCACGCCAGGGTTCGAAATTCCTTTTCGCGCCCGATTCAACGACATAATCTGAGTTTTTTGGGTCGGTCGTAATCGTAATCTCTGCTGAGCAATTGTTACACTTGAAATAGAGACGGAATATTTGAATACAATCCAAATACCTCTCTTTTGCTACATCTTCTTTCCTGATATTGAACTTTGTACCTTTAGACATGTAATTTCCGCAAGTTGCGCACCGGATACTCATTGGAAGCACCATCCGGACTGTCATCTGCAGAGGTTTGCTCCGTCGCTGAACCTTCGACGGATCAAAGTCCGGCGGGTAGTATTTGTTCAGTACTTTTCGTTCTCCCATGTTTTCCTCTTTACCTCAAGCACAATTCAAACCCTAATTTGCTGGAAATAATCGCTTTCTAAGGAAAAAGAAATATTTATTTGTGCTGCGGGAGCTCTATTTATAGGGTTCTTTTTACGCTTTTCTTTCTAACACGTAACAGGAAAATTTAAGAAACAAAGTCCTAATCAAAATCGAAAATCTAGTATTACACAACAATTAGGAAACTACCAAATTTAAGTTTGATTTATTTTGGTTTATTAAAAGAATAACTTCAGATCATGAGATCAATACATTATTACATATGTTTCCATTTTCGTTTAGATTGGTTTATTTTCTTAAAGAGGAAAAACATCAAATAATAAAATCAATACATTACATAGGCCTGTAAGTCATGTCATTATCACTTATATTTAACTACGATTTAATTGGTTATCTTGTGTATGAAATCCTCCAAGGCTAGTTGAAGTAAGAGATCTGTGCAAAATTTGATTAAAGGAATATAAATCCCACATCATATTGTGGTGTATACTAGTAGTAAAGATTGACCTTCTGGTTTTGCTTCATTTCTTTTGTTTAACTTTTGAGAATGCAGTTAGTTTAAGAGTTTTTTTTTTCCCTTCCCCCATTAAAAGCGGTTCCTAATCCCTAGCACATTATGGCACCACAAGAAAAATATAAGTTACGGGAAAAATATCACGATTCATCCTAGAAACGACGGCCAAAAAGGAGTTGTTTAACTGTTCTACTCAAATCTCCTAGAAGTTGATCATAATGCTAGCTGTAACTGTAGCATCTTGCTGCATTATGCTCGTAGATGTTCTCAGCATTAAACTTGAACTGATTCACAAAATTAGAGCTCAAAATTTAAAAGACCGAAAGTAGCAAAATATGCAAATTCACAGCAACATTCATCCAATGTCCTGTTAGTTTCCTAAACCAACACGAACTTGAATTGAGTATAATAAAACTTAAAATAAGTCGATACTTTTAGGCAATAGAAAATTTGGCATTCAAATTTAAATTGTTAATTAAATCAAGATTGGTTACTAGCTGGAATAGCTCAGCTGTTTAGAGCATGTGACTAGTAACCACAAGGTTGGAGGTTCAAGTCCTCCTTTCAGCACTATACCTTTTTTTTTTCTATTAATTTAATTTCCTTCTATATATTTAGAATTTGGATTAATTGAAAAAAATAATAATAAGGTTAATATTGGCCAATTTTCAGTAAGTCAGTGATCATGTGTGTTGGTATGCTCGTAAATTGTCAACTATCTTGTTTTTTATACAACTCGTAAAAATCAATGTCCACTATTTCTTAATTATAATACTTTAATTGAAAAATTGTGGACATTGATAGAGTGAGACAATTAGTGGACATCGATGTCTATTAGTGTGTAACTATTTATAGGGTGAGACAACTAGTTCACACCTGGGATACTGTCACATAAACAAAAACCAAAGTAATCTCCATAATTAATTACTGTGGATGAGTTTTGCAATTACTATAATATGGAATTTTTAGTGAATTGAAATTCTTTGAGTGCTGTGAATGAACTTTTCTATAGCGATCGATCACAATAATTACCACAAAAAAAGGAAAAAGTACCACCAAAAAGCAATCTGCGATCATCAGTCTAGCCATGAGTGTGCACTTCATCGAAGTTTAAATCTTTTCCCATTCATGATTTCGCAAAATGCCAATTCCATCAACTCTTTCTTCTTCTTCTTCTTTTTTTTTTTTTTTTTTTTCCCTTCTCTAATGGATAAGTAAAAGGGCAAAAGAAAAACGTTTGTTTTTCCTAACACTTTAAAAAATTGTTTGGATTCGATCACTTAAGTTTTTCTTTCCTTCAGTACTCCATTTCCCCATATTATTTTTGAATTCCTGTAAAATCATCAAGGGGTCAACATTTTATTTTTTTTTTAGATTTAACTTTGAGATATGATTTAAAACGTGCTTTAACTTAGAGAGTTTGAGATATTGCATCGATAATTTTTGATAAAATATTAATTTATCCTCTAACACCGGACCAGCCACTGCCGTCACCGGACCACCACAACGATCAATCTAGCAGTGCGAAAGCTTCAAGTAAAACAAAAAGAAAAACACGAAGCACTACTAACTCAGCGAAAAATGGCCAAAATATGCTCCCAAGGTGGTGGTGTAGGCAAAACTATGGTTAGGTTTTCGGAGGAAGAAAGAAATATGTTTCTCGCAATTGGCAAATGCAAAAAAACCAACTTCCGCATTCAACGAATGTGAAAATTTATTAAATTAATTACAATGCATTAAAGACATTGGATTAATACTGGATAATTATAATTATTATAAGTGTTCGCATATATGTCATATGCAAAAATTAACTTTTCGCATATGCCATATGCGAATGTTTTAATTTTTTATTTAAAAATTATTTCCTAACTTTAAATTGGTATAAAATAAAATGTTGTAAATTAAATATTTTGGTTGATAAAATATTGTAATATTTCAAAAAAAATGCTATTTTAATTGAAAATTAAATTTTCTAAATTTAAAGTTTTCATTTGATTTAAGTAAATTTATGTTAGTTCTAAATAGAATTGCAATGCTATAAATTATATTTGGTGAACAGAAATCGTATAATGCATTTATAATAAAATTTGAGTAATAAGTAAATTACAATTTCGGTGAAAAATTAGAATATAATCTTGCCTTTTGTAACCAAGTTTGCTTTTAAAAAAATTGACTTTTTATATTTGGTTTCAATTTAAAAACTTACCATCATTAAAAATAAAATGTCAAAAAATCAAGTTTAATAAATTTTGGATAATAATTTTTTTTATATGATAAAACTAAGAATCAATTCATTTAAAGTAAGGAAAAAAACTTAAATTTTTAGAATCTGACATAATATAAAGGAAAATGGCAAAAATATAAATTAGATAAAAATCATCCACCTAGATCTAAATTCGCCGGCCGGAAACGCGAAGAAATTAATAGCCTAAATAAATTAGATAAAAATTGAAATAAAACGACATAAAAAAAAATAAACAAATCATTATGAACTACAAAACATATACCTACCTGTTGTGGAGGAGGAGGCGATGGGAACAATGGCTGAAAAACGGGGAGAAAGCCAGGGAGAGAGGAGGCCCCGGCTTCAATGGCAAAAACCGAGGAGAAACCGACAGGGAGGGAGGTTTGGAAGTTTTAGATCTGAAGCTGTTCACATTCGCCATATGCAAACTTTAGGAAAACCTAGATGACGCCACGTGGCCCGCTCTGGCCAGTTTCAGATTTTTCACATTTCCCTTATGCGAACATATTTTACTCCACTATACGGGAGTCCAGGTCCTGAACTCCAATACAAATGTTAGGAACACCTAGATGACGCCACGTGGCGTGCCCTGGCCAGTTTCAGATTTTTTGCATTCCCCTTATGCGAACATATTTTACACCACTATACGGGAGTCCAGGCCCTGGATTCCAATACAAATATTAGGAACACCCAGATGACGCCACGTTGCGCAACCAGGCCAGTTTCAGTTTTTTCGCATTCCCCTTATGCGAAATATTGATGGTCCCATCACCTGTTCACTTTTGCCACGTGGCGCGTCGAATGGGAGGCATGACTTGGTTCGCATTTCATACATGCGGACATATTTTAACTATACGACAGTCCAGTTCTTGGACTCCAATACAAATTTAACTAATATTCTTTGAGGGTAGTCCTGTAGTCCTGGACAGTACACAAAATTAACACTAGTACAAATTTAATATTTTTTAAACTATTACACAAATACAAACATAGACTTTAAGATTGTTCGAATTATTACACAAACCAAAACCCAAATACAAATTAAGAATTCTTAGAATTATTACACAAATACAAACATAGAATTAATCAAACCATTACACAAACACAAACACTAACAGAACCACTGCTTGAAGATTTTTCAGATTATTACCCAAACACAAACTTTGAATTCCTACTCAGAATTCTGAAGATTGATCATCAGAATCATCAATCTGCATACGGGGTACACCATGCATTCTATATCGATCGCAAGCATGATTCAAAGGAGTCCTGTCTGAAGATGGATGTGAGAATGCGCAGTTGAAGGTATCATGATCAAATCCTCCACATCGCGCGCAAACTTTTTCAACTACGCATGCACTGGCATTATGGCCTTCTTGATGACATCAACCGCAAACTTGAACTCTCTTGTTACCAGATTTTTTCGTATAATCCATAAGTCCTTTCTTTCTATACACACGCTTCCGACCTGGGCCAGCATGGTCGACGAGTAATGTATCATCAGGCCTCAGCTGCCACGTCGCCTGTGGCCATGGTTGAAGGACTGGGTTGAATTCTCCAGAAAACTGAATAGCCCATTGTTCCCTACTATAAAATGAATCAAAAAGGGCTATTGGATCATGACGTAGAAACTTGGCAACAGCAAGCACATGGGAGCAATGAAACCTGTATGTCTGCCACTTGTTACATGTTCACATCCTGGCGGCGTAGCTTACCTCATGGATATTTCCACCCTTCCATGGCCGATCAGGTGGTGAGTACGTGACCACTTGGTACTTCTGATTCCTCTTGCTGAATCTGGTAACCTCGTGACCCATCTGATGTATACGGTATTCATCATACCATTTCATGGGATTCGTCGCGAGGGGTGAATGGCATTTGTCAATTTCATCTATGTTTTCCTGAAACAACTTGTTAGTCTTATACAATGTGGCAAGAATCAAAGCAGTGATAGGGAGCATCCGGCAACCTTTTAAGACATTATTAAAACTCTCGGATATGTTCGAAGTCATTTCTCCCCAACGATATTCCCCGTCCCAATAACGGGTACACTTCTCAAGACCAATTTGCTGAAGATATATGGCTGCATCTCTATTTTTACTTTCTAAATTCATTCATTCTTTTTCAAACTTGCCTTTTTGCAACATTGAACAAGCCTTGACAAGGTCTTTTGAGTTTCTGCCCTGGAAAATTGCTAGCTAAATTTGCTTTGATGTGCTG